TGTGCCTTCTTCTTCCTCACCTGCTTCCTGACCCGGGCCAAGCGGGGCCCCAGCCCGGACCGGAGCGGCGGCGGCGGCGGCTCCTGGTGGCTGCTGGCACTGCCCGCCTGCTGTTACCTGGGCGACTTCTTGGTGTGGCAGTGGTGGTCTTGGCCTTGGGACGGAGACGCCGGGGCCGTGACCCCGTACACGCCCCCGGCGGCGGCGGGCAGGTTGTTCTTGGTGCTGAGCTGCGTGGGCTCGCTGACGCTCGCGCACCGGGTCGGGCTCCAGCACAGCATCCTGGTGCTGCTCTTCTCCAGCCTCGTCTGGTGGGTCTCCTTCGCCAGCCTCGGGCCGCTGCCCTCAGCCCTGCGGCCCCTGCTGTCCTGCCTGGTCGGGGGCGCCGGCTGCCTGCTCGCCCTGGGGTTGGATCACTTCTTTCAAATCAGGGAAGCTTTCCATCATCCTCGGTTGTCCAGCACCGCGGAGGAAAAAGTGCCTGTGATCAGACCCCGCAGGAGGTCCAGCTGCGTGTCGTTCGGGGAGACGTCGGCCGCTTACCAAGGCAGCTGCAAAATGTTCAGAAGACCGTCGTTGCCTTGCATTTCCAGAGAACAGGTACGTTAGCCGAAAGCCAGGTTGTCTGAGGAAGTGAGTGCGGTTTTGTCGCTTCAGTTCCTGAGCTGAATTTGCGTGTTTGAAAGCATGTTAACTTCCAGGATGGGAGAAAATAAAAAGGTTTTCTTCTGGAAAGGATTCCTAAAATACAGGAGGCTTTTTAGAAATACAGAAGTACCTTTTTATTTGTGTGAAATAGACTATATTGCACCTTTAAAGTACTTTGTTTATGCAATAGATGAGTTATCAGAAGGTTGAATTATTTGCGGTTTAATAGGTTGACTACTCCCACTTTGGCATGCTCTGGTGTATGTCATGTTGGTGCCATTTATCTGTTGCTGTTATAATGGTGATATCTCTCCAAAGGTAACATACAACCATTAGAATGAGTGAATAGACATTAATTTTAAGCAGTGTGATTTTACTATTTTTGATATTCGAGAGAAAGATTTGAGATCTTATGAACATTGATGAACTTTGGAACTGCGACTTGTTAGTTTAGATGAAAAGACTTTTGGAAATAATTGTTAAGAGATCCCCTCGCCCCCAACCAAATTCCAGCTGTATAGGCTAATACAATATTTTACAGACTAACTCATGGTGGTGTGTATTTGTTGCATAATGAGGACAACGTTGTAATAATTTAACCTTTAAACTTATGTCTGGAAAGATGCCAAAAGCATGTCCAGTAGGTTTACATGTTTTTGTTTTTTAAAAGGAATTGAAACCATCATCATGGAACAAGCTTCTATATAGCCTTGGGAAATCTTACCTGTTCTACATCACCAAGAAACTCAACAAGTATAGCTATTCACTGATAGTAAATGCTTTACATATATTTTCTTAAATATATGTAAGTGCAAAATGCTTTACTTATATTTTCTTGAATCCTCACAAGAACTCTGTATGGTGGTGACATTCCCTCAATGTAGAGATGAGCCATGTGAGTTTTTGAGAGATTACCCAACTTAACACATCTAGTAAGTGGCAGTGCTGGGATTTGAACCTAGATTTCTCAGTTTTAATTGTCGTGTTCTAAGCAACTAAAAGAATGAGTGTAGAGCTCTTATGTAGGCGAGTAGGAGTTTATAGCATTGGTTTTCAGACTTTTTGATTGGTGATATGTTTTACACTGGGACCCAGTATAACTTTTTTATTCTTACTACATCTGATGCTCTCTTCAAAGTAATCAACAAACCACTGTATTGATTTTATGACATGTTTAACACTAACTCTGTAGTGCTCCAATGAGACCACACTTTGCTTCTTGAAACGTTTTTTTTTTTCTTTTTTCTTTTTTTCCAGAAACTGCTTTGTGGTCTGTAATTATTTGGCCATATACTTGAAAAAATTCGTTAAAAAATGTTATGCCTTTTGTTTTCTCATTTTACTGCCCGTGATAATAGTGCTTAGAAAAATCTGTATTAGAAGAGTTGTGATATTAACTGTAGAGCAAAGTAATATCAGCTGTTTTCTTAGCATGGCATGCCATTTAACAGTTGACTATATGTGAATAGACACTGGAAAAGTGTTTTAGCATAGTCTAATCACATTTGTAGATAATTTCCCTAAATTTAACAGCATTACAGTTTAACGAACTTTATTGTAATCTGTTGGTGTAGTCAATTGTGGCTGTGCTGTAAATGGAAAATTCTTGGTTTTCTTAATCCTACTCTGGTGCTTTTTCCATTATAGCAACCTTTTTCAACCTTTCATTGAGAGCAGTGTTGTTGTTCTAGGTAGCTTCACTTATTTGTATTAGAAGCAGACAAAGTTTGAGCTTTTAAAAAGGTCATATATTATACTTACTTGCATAGTCCATGGACATGGACATGGGGGGCGGGCATTGGGAGGAGGGGGAAAGCAGAGGGCAATGGGAGATATTAACAATAAAAAACACATTTTAAAAAGTTTATTAATCCATTTTTTTAAAAAGGTCATATCTTAACGCAGAAAACTCTTATTCACATTCCACTATGAAAAGGAACATTTTTGGGGTCTTAAATATATGCTAATAGTTTAAGGCTTCCTACATTGTTACTTAATGTTCGGTGTCATAAAATAATACTACTTTGGCATTACTAAAAATTACTACATATTTTTAATTTAACTGAGATTGTAATAAGGATTTTTATTTATGCTTATTCCTGTGAGTCTCTGGTTTTGTTTGCATGTATATGATGTTAAAGAAATGAAGAGGAAACCAGTGCTTTTATGGAAGTAAAAGATCGAGACTTTCTAATTTCCCAAGTGCTAAATTTCGTATATGACAAGTTTAAAGTCTCTTCATTGTTTCAGAAAGTGAAGGGGAAACAGAAAGATATTGAGTAGAATCTGATAGAGGGAGAAATGCTCTGGATTCATAGGCGGGGGATTGGGAGTAAGGTCTTGGCTCTACTGTGTGATCTTGGGAAAGTCAGTGAATCTCTGAATCTCAGTATCCTGCCAAATCAGGGATTCCAAAAGATGAATTCTGTAATAACTTCCCAGTTCTCGATTCCCTTCTTACAGTTGGTTTATACTTTTTGTAAGGTATGAATAAAAGTATAGCTAAAACATCACAGATGAGTACTTCTTGAAGTTTTACTTAAGTGTTGAATGTTGATATGACTAACCTGTGTTTTCCAAGGTGTAATGATGAGCAAATATTCTGTATTTTTTTAATAGAGAACTTTAAAAATTATATGCAATTCATTTTTGGATTGATAACAAAATTATTATACTTTTATTTCCTGAAGAATTTTATAAACATCTTTGAAAAACAATTAAAACTCATGTCTATCTAAATATTTTTAAATTGAGAGTAGATTTAGAATAATTTTTAACTTTTGGGATGTTATGTTAGGTACCATGTTGAAAAATAATGGCTTATGTTTGCAAAACATTTAATTTTCATAATTAGATTTATAGTAGATATAAATGCTATATATGTCACGTATTAATTGTATTAATTAAAGTTTTGTTGTTGTTGTTGCCAAGCGTTTAGAGTTTTAAAATTTAAATCTAGTTACTATTAACTGTATTTTGCCTTGGTGGGTTAATGGGAAGACATACTTAAGTTGTAGTATATTTGCCAGGAATCAGCTAAAACAAATAGGAATTTTTTAAAAAATTAGTTGTCTACATAGATGCTTTGGCCAGAATTTAGCAAATTACATTGCTAAGCCATTTTATTTGTATATTCTATAATGAAAGTTTCAGCCAGATCATTTTATTTGTGATAGACTAGGTAAATACGAGGTTTTGAAAGTCATAAGTTAGTGTGTGAGATATTTTTCTATACCTAAAATGCTAAGTGCTTTCTAAATGGTTAGGTAAATATTTTAAAATTCTGTGGCCTTAAAGCCCATAAATATTATGTAAAGTGTTAATTTTATTTGAAAAAGGTGCACACATGTAGTATGAATGTGTTTAAAAATGATTTTAAAGTTTAGTGATTATTTAGCCCCTTAAGGAATTTGCAAGGCATATCTCACTATGAATTTAAGAATACTGTAGTATTTGTGACGTTTATTTTGTGGTTTCAGTGAGTAGTGTTTCATTCTACTTTCATGTTAATATTTTGTGATAAAGTATCAGCCTATATCATAATTTTACGCTCTATTTTGTAAATATTGTATGTACTCTGCCATCGGAACTGTTGTTCAAAAGCACAGATTTGATCAAATCCCTTGCCCTGTTTTAAAAACCTCTTACGGTTTTTTCATTGTCCACAGGATAAAGTGGACAATGACCTTGAACCTTGTTTGCAAAATCCTTTATACCATGCTCTTAGCTTTTTTGTTTGTTTTGTATTTTAAAAGGCCATCTAGGACTTAGGGACACTCCCTCCCCCATCCATCCTTGGCTATAACTATTTGTGGACTTTTATTGTTACTGACCTGTAGGTATTTTTTTTTCTTTCACTATTACTATTCACAGTTTGAAATCTCCTTTAAGGAACAAATTAGATTAAGAAGTTCTTAGACAGTACAGTGATATTCAAATTACTTGTATAAACTGAGAACAAATCTTCAATATAGCAAGTTGGCCATTTTAAAAAATAAGTTGACAGATCATGTGATGTGTGATAGATTTTTATTATAGCTCATGAAATAATAACATCTCCATAATTTATGTTTTCCCATACTGAGTGGAAAGTAAATAGGGCCAAGCATAAGTAGAACTGTAAAGTTTATTTTCATTGTCCTCAAACTTTTTATCCGCCTCAGTGGTGGGCCTTTCTCTGATTCTCTTTTTCTTTACCCTTGCAGTTACCAAGTTAGCCTGTTTCTCTAGCTATTCTCCTGCCTTCCTATCCCCTAACCAAAACAGGAAGAATCTATACTTGCTGAAAGTATAGATAGATGTAGATATAGAAGAGATAGATTCAGAGTTTATCTCGTTGAAATCTGCTCATTTTATAGACAGGAAAGAAACTCAGAGAGGTAAAAATATTGTTTCTAAGTTATGGCGTGAGATATTTGGGATACAGGGACTAAAACCAAGCTAAGTCCTGCCATAAAGAGCTTAAATAGCTGCAGTCATGGTTTTCCAAGGCTGTAACTAATGTTGTCAATTATCTGATAAAGGACAGACCTAGTTAAAGGAGTTAGTGGGTGAAGATGGGAAAGCGAGAGAGACTCTTGAAATCACGAAGTTTATACAGACCTTGAGGATAAACTTGGTCTCTGATGTAGTTATTTCAGGGTGACTTGTCAGGATGCAGCTGGTGTCAAGCTCAAGTGCCTTCAGAGGTCAGTCACAATAATGTATTTATGTCGCATGCTGAAGAAGGAGGGAAGGATAAGAAGAATGGAAGTCCACTGATTATTGCCTACTTTGCCTAAGAACATTCAATTTAAACAAAACAAACGCAACAGTTGTGTTAGCCAAGCAAAACTTTAGGAGACCCGGGTTCTGTCTGTGGGTAGTTCCTGACAGTTTATAATATTGGGTTGGTGTTCACCTTGTTATTTAAAAGCTGACTCATATTTATTTACATGATTATTAGAAGGCTCTTCTTAGAACTTTGGGCAGAGGAGTATATAGTACTTTCTACTGTCTTTTTCTTTCATGATTTAGAACTTTTCTTCTTGTATTGATTTTCCCTAGCAGGTCACTCATCTTTGTAGATTTTCCCTCCTCCATCAGCTAGAGTAAATTGTTTGGCTAGTTCTTCCTTACATTTCTTTCATACAACATGCATTCAGCATATTTTATCTTTATTTAGTTAGCATTTAAATTTTAAATGAGAAATTTTACACGTAAAAGACTGTATATATTTTAATATGTGTTAAGGAATGAAATACTAAAGGAAAAAAGTCAGGTACTCACCACTTATATTCTTTGAAGTTCCCTGTGTAACTCTTTTTTGCATCCCTTTCTGTCCCATCTATCCTGATTTTCTTTTTCTTTTTTTTAACTATTCATTCCTGTGCTTGTTTTTATAATTATAACCCCCCACAAATGTATTCCTAAATAATCTAAATAATGTTATTAATCTTGCCTGTTTTTGAACTTCCGTAGAATCATGGTGTATGAATTTCTTTTGTAACATTTTTTTCCTTGATGTTTCTGAGATTTATTAATGTTGATGTGGATAATTGCAGTTCATTTTTAATGCTGTACAATATTTCATCATATGGCCATGGTAAAATTTATTTATCTATTCCACTGTTTATGGACCTGTGGGTAGTTTACCATTATGTAAAATGATGCTAATGAAACTTATTGCAAATGTTTCCTGGTGCATGTGTGCATCCAAAAGTAGAATTGCTGAGCTGCAAGGTATGTTCATATTCAACTTCACTATGTGTGGTAGTCAGAATAACAGCACCCCAAAGATGTCCATGTTCTAATTCCAGGAAATTGTGAATGTTATCTAACTTAGCAAAGGGGACTTTGCATAGGAAATGTCTAAGGACCTTGAAATGGGAAGTTTATCCAGGATTATCTGAGTGGATCTAAAGTACTCACAAGGATTCTTAAAAAGTGGAAGAGGGAGGCAAAAGAGGTCAGCAATGGAGTTGTGACAGTGGAAGTAGGATCGGAGTAATCCATTGTGAGAAAGATTCAATCTACCTTTGGCTTTGACAAGGGAAGAAGAAGGCCAGGAACCAAGGAAAGCAGGCAGCCTCTAGTTGCCAGAAAGGCAGGGAAATGGATTTACTAGTATTACAAGGTATCCTTTGATTTCTTCCTTGATCTCATTGTTAGCCCATTCATTGTTTAGTAACATGTTTCATTTCCCTCCATGTCTTTGTGTATTTTCCAGACTTTTTTTCTCGTGATTGATTTCTATTTTCATACTATTATGGTCAGAGAAGATGCTTCATATGATTTCATTCTTCTTAAATTTATTGAGACTTGTTTTGTGTCCTAACGTGGTCTATCTAGAAAATGTTCCATACGCACTTGGAAAGAATACATATTCTGCTGCTTTGGGGTGAAATGCTCTGAAGATATTATTAAATCCTACTAGGGTGTGTAAAGTATGTTCTTCTAAGGAAAAGCATAGGGAAACATGACCATTGCATGTAGATACATGTTATACAATATATCACACTCAAACATTTTTAATAAAATATATAAAAATAAATAAAATACTAAAATATATGCATTATGTTTAATTTTGATGTGTGTTAATATAAATATAAGATATGACAAAATGAAGTACAATTTAAGTACATTTATTCAGATGCTTTCATTTAATATTCACGTGCGGAAAAGTAGCGGGCTGCCTGAGGGAGTTCTGGCTCAAAATAGCCAGTCAGCAAGGTGTTAATTATTATGTGTCTTGATGTGGGCCTCTTTGGGTTCATCTTGTTTAGGACTTTCTGTGCTTCCTGGACTTATGTGTCTTTTTTCTTCACAAGGTAAGGGAAGTTTTTGGTCATTATTTCTTCAAATCGGTTTTCGATGATCTGTTGCTCTCTCTCTCCTCCTTCTGGTGCCCCTATGATGAGAATGTTGTTATGCTTCATGTTATACCAAAGGTCCCTTAAACTATCCTCACTCTTTTTAATTTTTTTTTTCTGCTCTGATTAGGTGTTTTTTTTCTACCTTGTCTTCCAAATTGCTGCTTTGATCCTCTATTTCAGTCAACCTACATTTATTCCTTTCACTGTATTCTTGATGTCAGAAATGGTATTCTTCATTTCTGACTGGTTCTTTTCATGGTTTCTATGTCCTTTTTCAAGCTGTTGTACTTCTTACTAAGTTCCGTGACCATCCTTATAACCATTAATTTGAACTCTGTGTCTGAAAGATTGCTTGCCTCCATTTCATTTAGCTCTCTCTCTCTTTCTTTCTTTCTTTTTTTTTTTTTTTTTGAGAATTCTCCTGTTCTTTTATTTGGGGCCTGTTTCTTTGTCCCCCCATTTTGGTTGCCCCTTTGTGTTTGTTTCTCTGTATTAGATAGATTTGCTATGACACCCAGTCTTTGTGTGGTGGCCTTATGTAGTAGGTGTCTTGTGAGACCCAGTGGCTCAGGGTCCTTGATCACCTGAGCTGGGTCTGAGAATGTCTCTTGTATGGGTTATGTGGGCCCTTCTGGTGTAATTCAGTCTTGATTGCTATAGGCCTGTTCATGTATGGGATCAACCCAGAGGCTGGCTGACTGTGAAGCTCAGCCCCAACCACGGTGTGTGAGCTGCTGTGCCAGTGCTGACCACATGAAGCGGAATTCACCTCAGTAGGGTTTGGTGCCTGCTGAGATCTCCTCTTGGTTATGCTGTTTGTGAAGCTTATTGGATCCTGCTCTAACGTTGTCTGAAGGTGGCCACTGGGTGTGTTGGTTCTGGGCCTCTTGGGAGGGACTTTGGTGCAGGACAGTGTCTAATGCTGTCTGTGTCTGGCCGTTGGCAACCTGCTAGGAGCTGGCGATCCAAAGTTTGTGCCTGCCTCTGGTTTGCTTGGATTCACACAGGAAGGACCAAATTGCACAGCAAGGCTGGCTTTTACCAGCACTGGGCCTGGGGGTAGGTCAGCAAATGTCCCAAGGCACCCTGATAAGATATGCCTCCACTTGCCTCTACCTGCCAACTGTCTGTTAGATTCAGTCATTGAAAGAGCCTCTGGTGGAGTTGGGATGATGAGGCAAATGGATCACTTGTGAGGGGGAGGTTCTGTTCAGGTTTCAGGGAAGATGGTGGGTGTGGTCCCCGCCCTAGCACCGCACGACTTTGTGTGTCCTGACCTAGGCAGGGCAGAGCCACCAGGAGTTGGGTGAGTGGGTCCTTTGGAGCCACAGTCAGAGTCCAGAGGATGGATCTGCTAGAAACCTGAAAGGTGTTTCTAGCAGATATCCCATGAGGGGGAAATGCCAGGCAGGTTGATGGGAAAGTGGAGGGAATGGCCCCAACCTCAAAGCCACATAACTCAGTCACTGATACCACCTGAGTCTGCCCAGACCTCTACCCCCTGTCCAAGGCAGCTGACTCCTCCGCAGGGCCTAAGCTCCACAGGGTGAGGTGAGAAGGAGTCTAGAGGGGGGGACAATTGGTTTACCCTAGGCTGATGCCACACAGAGCGGCATGCTCCACCCAAGAAAGATGGTTAAGTGCAGTATTGAAGAATGACTCAGCACAGGGATCCTGGCAGCTGTTCCCCCAGCTTTGTTCCCAGAGCCACAAACTCCAGACTCTTCTCAGGTGATTCTACTCTGCTCACCCTCCCTCTACTAGAGCCCAGGGTGAGTTGGTATGAACGAAATTTTGTGTGTTGGCCCTTTAAGAGGGTACCTATGTCTCCATTAGACTCTCTCTCTCCCTGGTGGACAGAAACCCTGCTGCTTTTCACAGCTGGATGTTGTGTGGGCTCCTCTACCTGGCTCTGGTGTTCTGGGCTGGGGAGCCCGGCTTGGGTTTAGGCCCCATGCTCCTCAGGGGGAATCCCCTGAAGCTGAATATCCCTCTGGAATATCAGGTGCCACTTTTGGGAGCGGAGCCAGTCCTCTTTTTATCTCCACCCTTCCTACCAGTGTCAATATGGCTCCTTCTATAAATCCTTGGTTATGTCTTCTCTTTGGCTAGTCTTCAGTTAGTTATTTAGGGGATGATTGTTCTTTAGTATATGTGCTGCCGAAGCGAGCACATGATGATTGTTCTTTAATTTAGTTATAATTCCAGTTTGGTCCTGGGAGAAGGTGAGTGTAGTTTCCACCTACTTTGCCTCCATATTGAAATCTGATCTCATTTTTTATCTACATGGATATCCAGTTGTGTCAACACAATTTATTGAAAAGTTTATTATCCATTTGTCAGCAGTGTTCCCTCTGTCATATATCAGATTTCAATATACGTATGAGTCTGCATATGGGCTCTCATGTTTCATTGGTTAGTTTATGAACCCTGTGTTATGCTACATTGTTTTAATTATAATAGCTTTATAATAAGACAATATATAGTAAATCCCCTCATCTTGTTTTTCTTCAAGAATGTGTTGATTATTTTTGGACCTTTGCTTTTCAATATAAATTGTAGAATAAGATTAACAAGCGCCACAAAAAATCTTGTTGGGATTTTCATTGACATTGCATTAAGTCTTTTGAACAATCCTGTATAATAAAAGCCTAATATCCTAAGTGTCCGGTCATCCGTTCAACACATCAAAGGGTAATATACTAATGATATGCTAAGGCTGCTCAGCCACTTGCACTGACCACCAGGGGGCAGACAGTTGACCGGTCTGCCAGTCTCTATGACATGCACTGACCACCAGGGGGCAGACAGTTGACCGGTCTGCCAGTCTCTATGACATGCACTGACCACCAGGGGGCAGACAGT